TTTACGAATGAAATGCAAAAACATACATCACACTTGAATACGTATATTTTTCTCAGACCCCCGTTGTGATCATCACAGCGATGGCGTGCCCTGCGTGCTATACCAATGTGTTTATGTGGATAAATATACGTATTCAAGTGTGATGTATGTTTTTGCATTTCATTCGTAAACTCCCGGTCCTCGAATGCCATGTGTAGTATATTTCTTACGCTCTTGGAGTTAAGTAAACATTTGTCACAAGCCCTAGTGGAAATAAATGTTTCAAAGCGGTGTTGTATTGCAGGTTCTATCCGAGCTCACCAAGTCAGATGTGTCGGAGGAAGGTTTCCCTCAGCGATCAACTCGTTTGATGCGATTGGGTTTAGTGGCCGTTGTGTGTGCTCGTAGTTCTACGTCAACTGGACAGCTTAGCTATGAGCTGTTCCATAACCGGGCCGACTCTGCTAGACTTTATCAGGTACTGGCTTTAGAAGTATCTCTTTACTGGTTGGAAGATGTGAGTAAATTTATTAGGCATGTCAATAATTGACCAAGTATTAGTGGTCTTGTCATGCAAAGGTAGTTCGGGCACTTCATTACAAATCGTTTCACGCTATGGCGCCTGGCACCGAGGCTGCGATTCTGAAGATCTGTTTTCATACAGGGAACACCAGCAGCCCGATGGCTCCCTTGTGAGACATTAGATACTTGGCACCTAAATCTCGGTTTCATAGTGAGAAAACTTGTAAGAGAGCAAACCATCACCGGAGATGCCTTGATGAAAATCTGGTCTTTTTCAACAGATGTGGTCATTTAGCGTGAACATTCCAGATTTTCGCTGTCCGTGTGGAGACTGTTAGTTGTTTTATAGCCGGTTGCCCATTGTGGTTACTAGCAAGCACATTAGGTGTACGCTTGTGTACTGTAGAGACAAACATCAACATAATGTCTACACCTTTTCCTAAATCTGCTTAGAGTCTCTAAAAGGATCGCGCTCCTGCGCTGCACTTGACCTCAAAAAGGGATATCATTCAGTCTGACACTGACAGCTGAATTTTGCGCCGAGTCTTCCCTGTCTAGTGGAGAAGATACATAAACCTTGTACGTTACTATGTGTTTCATTTCGCTTATATATAACTTGCTACCTAACTGGTTGTAACAAAACCCTGTACTGATCGCTACGAATTTAGGAAATCATGCGTGCCGGCGCGCCTTATGGAGTGGTGAACTTTGGTCAGGCAACTATGAATATGATGCGGTTGGAGCACGGTTACAAGATCTGGGGACGCGAACTCACGCTTGACACAAATCCGTTTGAGTGTGGATTGGGTGGTGAGTTCGATAGTGGAAATTAGAGCGAAATGGAAATGTAGTGCGCTGAAAGTGGCGGATAAGCCTAGAGGTAACAATTTAGCTTTGGTCGACTTCACTAAGGAAGACTTCATTGGGAAAAAGGCTGCTCTGGAATTGAGTAAGCAAACGTTCGATCGTAGACTGGCATTGCTCACATTTGATCCTGCCGATAATCCTCATGTGCCTCTTGAATGGAAGAATCTTCCATTCGGAATGGAAGTAGTTCGTCGAGAAGGCCACGAAGAGGTAAGATCATCTTTTAAGTGCGGTCTTTGCTACAGTGATGGGATTATTCCACCCTCTAGTCAATGACGGATGAGAATCGACTTTCTTTTTAGCGCATTGGTCAAATTACCTCTGGCTCGTACAGTGTTCGCCTACAACGACCGATCGCTTTCGCGTGGATTAATAACGATGTGCAACCGAATGAAAAGGTTGGTATAACATTCTTACCTTTGTTACCCGCTCTAAACTTCACGATTCAAACTAGTCTTACTGGAAAGATGTAATGATATAAGAAAGATATTGAAGACTACTTCGTTCCGCGGCAGGCTGCTTTGCTATACATTGATTATTAGCATAAGGATAATTCCGTATAACTGTCTCATAAACTCTATTTACAAAACAGTTCAATGTAAATGCGAGTTAAATGTTTGACTCAAGCTTTAACTTCGAAAACAGGAGGGTTCTGTCACAATTTTTGGGAAGTGATCACTTCGTTTTTGTCGCAAATGGTCATTCCACCCCGCTTTTACTTTAGCCTTCTTCCTTTCGCACCTGGTACAACTGTTCCACTTTTCCCCTCATATCATGGGGAAAGACTGCCGTTATTTCTCGACAAACAGCAAAATTTCGTAAGAAGCCAAGATTGTGGGACCTTTAGCACCAAATATACGTACACAATTAAGCTTCTCAGGGTCCCAAACATCCTTGTTTTTTTCGACTGGAATAAGAGATTGCATTATAAGAGAGAATTCTGATGCCACTAAGAGTGCTAGAAATTAAAACCTTTTCAAATGTCAGTCTCTAAACAAAAGCTGTCTGACTGGGCGTGCGAAAGCCCAACTTCGTCCTGTAAATGAGAAATGAAAAGAAATCACCATCACGGAAACCAATCATCTGCAGGTGTGAGCTGAGCGCCTGATCCGCGTAAAGGTTGGGGCTTCTTGTATCTTCATGTTTTAGTGTTCCTCCGCTGTTCTTCTAATGGAGGTTTTTTTATGGCTCAAGGATATGTTATTCGAAGAAAAACTTCATCTTTAACAAAATTACCTTGGGCACTGGCAAAGAAACGCTAGGACATAACAGACAGGAAACCAACACTTTTCGTGTTGGCTTGTCCGCATTTCAAAAGTTAAGATACAATTTCCGCAGTAGTTTGTTATTCGGAAGAAGTAACTTGAAATTTCCTAACGTACGTCAACCGGCATTTCATACTAAAATTCACGACACTGACACTTGTAAAAGCAGCATCCCATACAAAAACTCACGACACTAACACTTGAAAGAAGTGTTCAGTTCCTGCACAGTTTGATGACATCGGATTTTTTCTATGATACGGTATCTTATTTTGGTCGACAAGTTGACAAGGGTGCTCGGATCCTTTAGTGGTTTTATATGTTGTACAGCACATCGGATTTCTTACACTGTAGTACATCTAGTGGCTGAGTTGGTGTAGTAGCAAGTGTCCTGCTTACCACATGCGCTGTCCATGGGTTATATCAGGTTTAGGCTCCGCCCAGGTCAACCAGACCTGCTATCCCTCAAGGGTCGCTAAATTGCTTTCGGACTTCTGCGGGGATGAAACACTACTGGTTTGTACATCGGCTGGCTGCCACATGTCATTGTACATGCCAGGAAGCACTCAATAAGCCTTTTAGATATAGAATGGAATTAGAGCGTTTGTAGCATCCTTTAGAAGAAATCGTCGCCGCCGAAGGCTTTGTCCTTTATCTTTCTGTCGTACATTCGATAGGCGTAAATTTCCTGGCATACTGTGGTATTCCCGAGATGCATGTTCGTATAACTTCGGAAAGACCCATATTCCCTATCGGAAAGATTCCTCTGAGAACGGATTTTTACTTTTTTTCTTTCCCTTATAATGGTATTTTTATTTTCTGATCGATTCCATGTTTTGTTTGAATCAAAACGTTTTAATTCATTGGTTCTATTTCAGTTATCAGTGGATATTGGGTCAGACCACATGTTGATTGCTACAATCCTCGAGAATATTCCTCACGATCCTATTCAGTAAATTTTGCCTTTAGTATAGTATTAGAATAGATTAATGCGAGGTAGATTTATTTGCCAATGTCGAACTGCGGACTGGTCGTCTTACTCAAGTCATTATACTCTGTAATACATTGAATTAGTCCGCGCGAAACTCTCACAGTGGTTTCTTATTGAGAAATTTTACATAACAATAATTTGCTATATTTTTACGCTAAGGGTTGATGTTTGCTTGCTTAGAGAGAATCAATTAACCAAGGGTTTTTTGTTGCACTGTCTTGTTGTTGAGAATGCTCCTGCCTGTATAGAATTTTTCACCATAATAAATCTTTGCAGCCATCTAAGTGATGAGTCTCTTGAGGGTTCCTTTTCCAATTTCTCTACAGATGTTCTTCAATAAATGTCCATCAAGGTGCCACCATGTCTTCATCTCTTCTAACTTACTCTGTTCTTCATGTAGTTTATGGCACGCAGAACTCGCGGTAACGACGTTGATCCTTTTCTACGAAGTAAAATCCAATATGAGTACAACCTCGATCTTTTTGAGCAAAAATACAGGAAACTCCAGGAGCGGGAACTTCAGTCAGGAGTCGAGGTAAGCGAGAATAGATTCTCGTCCGAGTTGTAAGGTTTAACAAATTTTAGATTAATATTCCAAAAAAGTGCCCTTATTCTTGAAAGCAGTAGTATACGGTCTTGTTCGCTGCGGATGGTAGAGTTTCAAGGGGATGGGTTGGCGCAGCGTTAGCCCGCTTTGTTTCTTTTCTTTTGGGAAGGAGCAAGACTGTATCATGTCGTTCATGTCAGTCGTTTTCTGCATCAGTCGTTATCGCTTACCCTTTTCTTCAACCGATGAAAGTGTGCTGGCGGCTCGCCAAACCCGGCCTCACTGACACCGCCCATAATTGCAGCCAACAAGGCTGTATGTCAGTTTTGAGCCTGAGTCCACTTCGAATTTTATGTTCATCGGAATTGTTGAGATCGAGGGATAGTACAAGAAATTTGTGCTCAAATTTTTCTACCAGTTCGTGGGCCAAACCGGAAGATCTTCATCATTTCATCTATGCTTTGTAGACTTCTTATAAACCTTGTTGCATGTCTTCAGGAATAATCAAAAAATGTACTGTAGCTATAAAGGCTAATACGAAGGCTTCCGTAACCACAGAATTTTCCAGATCGATTTAATTACTGACGATATATATGTTCCAAATAATTTTTCGGAGCGAGCCCTACAAGCAAAATGCAATCAGTTGGAGAGATCAGGCAAGGAATTCGGGTAAGATCTTTCCTGTCCACATTATTGATGTACTAAGGGTGACCTGTACCGATAAGGCTACGCGCCTACTTTGTCTTCATCGACGCTATCCCCGCTACCCTTTCCCCCCCCCCCTTGCCCGCAAAACTAATGCAGCCATAATTTCAAGATCGGCTTGTTTCTGTTTATGACACAGCTGCTGCTCTTGAAGTAGGTTGCTCGAAGCTTCAAAATGCTTCAAATGTCCAAACACCTACGAAATTCTAAAGTTAAATGAGTATACCGCGTTCCAACACTCAAGGTTTTGGCAAGCGTGGTGGGCACTGAAACCTGGCCATAAATCGAAAGATCCTCATCGTCCTCGGCTTGGTCTTCTGCATTCTCTAACGAGTTCTTTGAGTTGCTTACGTACTCATTCTTTCTTCAAAGGAGGCGAAGATAGTGCGTGTATAATTAAGGTTCGGGAAGCTCTCTACTACATGTAATAGCTTCGAAGTGTTCGGCAAAGGCCACACGAAACGCGCGAAGGAATGCCAACAGCTCCACGCCGTGAGTCAGTTCACGTGTTTTTTGTCATAGTTGTCCTTATCCTTTTTTATTTTCCTCAACACTTCAAGGATTTCAAAGCAAAGTTCGAAAGGCGATACCCTAAATGGCAACCCTATAATCCTCAAAGTCGTCCAAAAGTAAAAAGAACAATCAGGGAAACAGTAAAGGTAAAGGTTTGCCAGTAGTAGTTTTGCTAATTGTTTGGAATTGTTGGATTTACTGCTTTCCCTTCTAGGAGTTGGTCTTTGAAGAACCCCTGGATTATCTCTATTATATCATGAAAATCAAAGGGTTCCCTCTTCATGTATTCGACCAGCAAGGTGATCATTTCTGTCCTGGTGAGTGGGTATTCTGAAGTAAGTAACTGAACATTTCAGGTGCTGTATCTCTTCCAATGGTGGTTGGAGACTGTTCAAAATCGCGAGAGTGTTCACCAGTGCATCATAATCTGCCAGTTGCAGGAGCTCATGACTTACCGAAGCTCATGGTATCCGATAAGGACTGTTCAAGATCAAGGGAATGTTCGCCAGTACGGACTGTTACGACTGCTAAGGAAGCTTGTACCCTGGCGAAATTTGCGATAACAGATAGGGACTGCTCGAGGTCGAGAGAGTGCTCTCCCGAGTGCTACCGCAAAGGCACCGTCGAAGCGAGTCCTGAAAATGTTCCATCTTGCAGTGACGATCGTGGTCGAGATACAGACATACGCTATTGTGTGGATGTGAACAATAAAATTGTCCAGAAGGATACCTCAAAACCTAAAGTCGGCCCCGACTCGACTTCTGGCACAACACTTCAGATGGCCGACGAGGGTTCTTCGTTAGCTTCTACTGATTCTTCAAAAGCCACTTCAGTGCCACCAGCACCAATCCAGTTCGATAGCTCAAGTCAAGCTGCTGCTCCTCAT